AAGGACCCGGCGGGTGGGAGCGATGAGTGCAGATGGCTGCGTGGCTTGGGCGGCGGGTCCGATGTCCAGGTAAGAATGTCGGGATGAGGACGAGGATGAGACGGGCCCGGTCGGTTGGTTGGGTTGGTAACCTTGAGGAGGAGCCGGCTCCACGGTTAGCCTCACCGGTTACCGCTTACCGGTTATCGGTCTCGGCTGTGCCTACCGAGAACCCGCACCGCGACCCGCCAGCCATGATAGCTTCATCCGCGGCCGCGCTGCCGGAGTGCCCCTCCGTCCCGAGTAGTCAAGAGCCAGGGGTCACTGGACCAGAGATCAGAGATCCCAACACACTCCCGTAGCCACAAACTGTGTCAAATTTTCGTGTCTAGGACCGGGAAAACTGCAATTCTACAGGGATTGATAACCGGATTGCCACAGTACCGGGGAATGTCAGGGAATGGAGAATTTGCATGCAAATTTTTTATCGCTTCATCTGAAAGTGCTTAAAGAGCTGATTTCACAGTAATTTTTATAATTTTTTTCTGATATGAGAAATAGTATAAAAGTAGATTTAAAAGTGAGAAAATGCACCGCCTAGAGACGTCATCTGACGGCATTTCCCATTTAAACACATGTATTTCAGTAGATTAGATCATTTTTTGTCATATCTCCTCCAATAATCGTTCAATTTATGCACCAAGGGTATCCTTGTGTTCAGTTCACTCAGTAGTTTCCACGTAAACACGAAATTTAGCAAATTTCAAACACCTTCAAATTCTCTATTTTAAATAGTCAGGGAAAACCGGGAAATGTCACGGAAAATGACGTAAATGCCCCCTTTTTTTTGGATTTGTGAAAAAGTAAGAAAGAAGAAGGGGATGTAAGCGGCCCGAAAACAATTTTAGTTACAAAATTCTGTGGACTGAAGAGATTAGCGAAACGCAGCAGGCAATTCAAAAAACACTAAGTTAAATACAGTTGAGTCTCAATTATTCGCGATTCCGGGTTATCCGCGATTTTTATTAGAACCCCCGGGCGACAGAACTATCAAGGAGTTACTAAATGCGGTCAGCTAGGGAAAAACTACCGATCACGTCCCAACTCCTATCGTTCATCCACGATACCTCCGATCCCGATCATCGCGGATAATCAAGACTCCACCGCATTGTAAAAAAATTCAAATGAAAAAAAAAACACCAAAGAAAAAAATGAATCCTCTTGAAGAAGAAAAGAGGGGGGAAAATCCGGCGTCAAGCGTTACGTAACGCGGCCTGGGACCCCTCTCCCCCGTTACGCACCCGCAACGTAAGCTCAAACCCTGTTACACCTGCAGCGTTACGTATTTTGTGGATTTTGAAGTTATTTTCAAATATAAACCTGGCAGCGGTGACGGGCGACCGGTCACCAGTCATGTCGGCCTGCGTCTCCACGACCACTTCGATTTCACGGGGGGCTTGCACATCCCCCCCCCCCCCCCCCCC